CTCCAGTCTGGGCGACAGAGTGAGACTCCAACTCAAAAAAAAAAAAATGCACATTAGTATGTTAGCCCTTCCCTATGACAACTTTGTCGTGTGACTGAGATGGGGCCCTCCTGACATGCCACAGGTACTCTCTGAAGCCCTTCTTTTGACAACAGTAGGAAAATCACAAGTCCTTTCTCACCTCAGCCTGTGACATTTGTCAAGTGTTTCCCAGAGGGTGTTCACAGGATACTGATGCTTTTGTTGTTGTTGGTGGTGGTGAATTGGGGTCTCACTCTGTTCCCCAGACTGGAGTGCAGTGGCACACTCACGGTCACCCCAGCATCAACCTGCTGGGCTCAGGCCATCCTTCCACCTCAGCCTTCCAAGTAGTCAGAACTACAGGCACGCACTGCCACACCTGACTAATTTTTGATTTGTCATAGAGACAAGGTCTCGCCAAGTTGCCCTGGCTGGTCTCAAACCTGCGGGCTCAGGCAGGTCTCTCATCTCGGCCTCCCAAAGTGCTGGGATTACAGGCTGAGCCACCACCGAGCCAATACTGATGCTTTAAAATCATCAGAAAAATGTTTGGGAGTTGCTGTGCTCAATGGATTTCTTTGTCAGAGGATTTCTCAGAATCTTTAGTATGTCATCTGCATTGTGACTTCTGCAGAGGGTGACACAGACTATTTCTACATTGAGCCTCTATGACTACTTCCTGTTACATTAAGAGGGAGAGGTTCTGAAAAAGAAAGCATTCTGAGTGTTCATCTCTATGAATCGAGAGCAAACATTGTCCATGATCCAGCATAGATAACTCATACACCTGAGCTTCATTTTGGACATTTTGTAGAGCTCAGAGTTAAAATGATCTTGAAGATATTTAGGCAGCCCATTATCTCAGAGGAAAGCTAATTTCACTTTTGTATGGCTCTGTTGTTACGGTATAAGAGCCAGTTCTTAGTTTCTTCAGGTATCTATACCCTCTCCCCTTCCTCCTGGTGATTTGCCTCTAAACACCTTTTGGTTTCTCAGTGTCATCATTAAAATGAGTTCTCAGGAGTAATTGCAGAACACACCATAGCATATCTTGTGTTTTAATGCAGCATAAGATTTCATTAGCTCTTTTAGCAGCGGCGGCATACTGTTTGCTCAGCCAAACTTGTGATCAGCTGTAACCCCTTATGAATTGCTGTTAATTCAGGTCTCCTTCTTACTGAACTACTTCCTAGAAAGATTATGAGAAAGAGACTTGTGCAACAGCGTGAGTTTGGGAAGCACTGCTTGGCAGTGTAGTAAGAATTTAACAAGTGACAAGTTGTTATTCCTGTAACCTTTTATGATGGCAATTTGTCTTATTCATCCCTGAATCTCCCCAGCACCCAGCAAGGTGCCTTATGCATGTGGCCCGTGATAAATGTTGGTGGAATTAGTAAAAGAGAGATGGATTGTGTCTAGCAGCAAATTCCATCTTGTTGCCTGGCCTAGCGTGTGTAGGTAATCTTGCATTTTGCTGCCACTGTCACTTTCAAAGCTGTGCATTCTGATGTCTCATCTAAGGCAAGCTCTACCCAGACTCACAAGCCTGAGTTTCAGTGTTTTCTGCAGGTTCTCATTGATTTTCTTTTATTCCTTCAAAGTCCCTTTCCGTCATGCTTTCTTCTCAATTTTCCCCTAATTCTAAGAACGCTGCATCCTTTCTAACAAACCAGGGAGTACAGAGGCATTTTCCTACTCTCATAAAAATACACTTATAAGATGAGTCACTCCCCCAGACAAAAACAAAAAGCAAATTGCATACACCTTGTAGGTCATCAAAGCCATTCCTTGGGTGTCCTTGGTTTGGGGGAGTGTGTATATGTCTGTGTGCACATCTACATTTCATGTTTTTGTTTTGTCTTCTGCCCTCAAGATTTTTATTTAATTGCACCAAGGTGAGCAATCATCAACATCTTGAAATACTCACAAACTTACAGAAAGTTTAGAGGTATGACATAAATAACTTTTTTCCAAATCATTGAAATCTGATGCTCCATGACTCCCAAATGCCATAATGTATCTCATACAAACAAGCATGCTCCTACATGACCACAATGTTTGCATTGAAACAGGCAAATCATCATTTACACATTATTATCATCTAATTCTCAAACCCTACTCACATTTTTTCATTCATCCCAGTAATGTCCTTTTTTAGCAAAAGAGTCCAGTTCAGACTCATAAGTTACATTTGGTTTTCATGTCCCATCAATCTCCTGTCTGCTGCATCCTCTCAGGTAACATGTGCTGCCTTTTGTCCCATTACTATTCATGCTTGGGTCACTTGATAAAGGTGTTGTCTGCCAGGTTTCTTGGCTGTAAGGTTGCTCTTTTCCTCTTTGAAAGTAATTCATATTTTGCAGGGAGGTACTTGGAAACTCCATGTATTTATATCTGTATGAACTCGTGCAGTGGGTTATAATCTGTTGCTACCATTGTGTATTTTGATGCTCAGACTATCACCAGTTTGGCCAGTAAGCTGGTTCAAACTGACTTTTTGTTCTTTTAGTGGGTTCCCATCATTCTTCTAGTGTTTCCTCGCTTTCTGGCACAAGGTAGTTCAGACTCATCTTGTTCCTTCCCTGCTCTAACCCTGGAGTTAGTTGTTTTTGCAGGGAGCTCTGATTCCTTTTAGTGAAAACTGGTATTTAGAAAGCAAGATCTGGGTGCTGGATGTGCTCATCACCTTTGAGATGTCACTATTCGGCACTCTCTCAGTGGACACAGCTAGGGAATGTGTGTGCTCATCTGTGTCTACATGGAATGAAAGCCATGTATTCCCAGTGCTACCCACCACAGGGATCACTCATTTTTTTCCCTTTCCACATTTGTAACTCCCTTCTCTGTTGATGAGAAACCTACTTTCCACAATCCTTAATATTTTTACTTATGCAATCAGTCCTCCTGCATGTGACCAGTCTCCCATTTTTGCCACTTCTCCACTCAGACACATTTCTCATTCTCCACTCCAGGCCACCCTCGGTGTGGACACTTACCTGATCCCACTTGGACACCAACACCCCACACTAGGTGATTATCAAACTTGGTTGCCCAGGCAGCCAAGTTTGAGAAGCATGGAGAGTTCTCAGGTTGAACTGTTCTTCAGTCTTTTTAGCAAACCTCTCTCTCCTCATTGCTGGCTCTTGCTGAGGCAAATTATCAGCAAGCTGCCAGACACTCCCTTTCATAAGGAACAGCACCCACAGTGCTTTCCTCTCACTGCTGGAAAGCACTTAATCCTCCTGGAAACAGTAAGTAGTTGGTGGAGTCCTGGCTCCACTTCCAGTCTCCAGGTCGATCATTTTGCTCTCACAGCAGAGCCCTGCTTTCCCCTGCTGAGGGCAGTGTTAGTACCATTAAAAGATCAAGAAATTCTGAAGTTTTCATTGGCGCTCCGTGACTTGTCTTTTGCTGCTCTGGGGAAGATAGCTGTTCTGTATATCCAGTTGTTCAGCTTTTGATTCTAAAGCCAATGTGAATCTCCTCCAAACCTCACTCTACTTTGAAAATGCTCCTTATAAGCCAGGCTCGGTGGCTCAGCCTGTAATCCCGTGCCTTTGGGAGGCTGAGGTGAGTGGATTGCCTGAGCCCATGGGTTCGAGACCTGCCTGGGCAACTTGGTGAGACCTCATCTCTACAATAAATCAAAATGAGCTGGGCGTGGTAGCACGCGCCTGTAGTTCCAGCTCCTTGGAAGGCTGAGGCGGAAGGATCGCCGGAGCCCAGCAGGTCGAGGCTGCGATGGCCGGGAGCGGCCACTGCACTCCAGTCTGGGTGACAGAGTGAGACTCCAACTCAAAAAAAAAAAAAAAAAAAAAAAAGGCTCCTTCTAAAATCATCCATTCAGCCGGGCTCGGTGGCTCAGCCTGTAATCCCGCGCTTTGGGGGGCTGAGGTGAGTGGATTGCCTGAGCCTGTGGGTTCAAGACCCGCCTGGGCAACTTGGCGAGACCTCATCTCTACAATAAATCAAAAAAAAATCAGCTGGGCGTGGTAGCGCATGCCTGTAGTTCCAGCTACTTGGAAGGCTGAGGTGGAAGTGAT